CGTAGGAGCTCAAAAACAATCCTCAAATGATGCACATGTTCTATCCATGTTTTACTGTAGATTAAGATGTCGTCAAAGAATACTAAAACAAATTTGCGAAGGTGGAACTGAAATACCTCATTCATTAAGGACTGGAATGTGGATGGGGCGTTTGTGAGACCGAACGTCATAACTAAAAACTCAAAGTGGCCATGATGAATTCTGAAGGCAGTCTTCTCAACGTCTTTGGAAGCCATTCGGACCTGAAAGTACCCCGACCTTAGGTCTAGTTTTGAAAAATACTGGGCACCATGAAGTTCATCCAACAACTCGTCCACAATGGGAATAGGGAATTTATCCTTGACAGTCCGGTTATTGAGCTCTTTGTAGTCAACACAAAATCTCCAAGTACCATCCCGCTTTGCTACCAACAAAACTGGCGAGGAGAAAGGAGAATGGCTAAGGCGAATGATCCCCTGCTTAATCATTTCAGCACATTGCTTCTCTATCTTGTCTTTCTGCAGATGTGGGTAGCGATAGGGCCGGACGACGACTGGTTCTGAGCCCATCACCAGAGGGATCCAGTGATCGCAAGCTTGGGAAGGAGGAAGTCCCTTGGGTTCTTGGAATACATCTGAAAAATCGGCGAGGAGCCTTTCCGTGGTTGCTGCATACGTCATTTCACCTTGGGGCACATGAACCTGTGGGTTTTTAGCCTTTACCACGTTACCCTACCAAGTGACTTGCTTCTCGTTCAAGCGGAATGTCATCTTTAGGGCGCTGAAATCCCATAGGATTGGGCCCAGGGTGATCAATCATTTTACCCCAAGGACTACATCAAATCCATCCAAGGATAACACAAACAAATCAGCAAAGAAGGATTCAGAATTGACCTATATTTGGACGTCCTTACAGATGCCTGGGCTGTGTACTCTTTCTCCATTTGCTACGACTACCTACAGTCTTGGTTTGATTTCCATTGGCAACTCCAACTGGAGGAAAGCTTGCTCACTCACAAAATTGTGTGTGCTTCCTGAATCAACGAGGATCAGTACTAGTCTTCCCGCTACCCGCTCTTGCAACTACATAGTTTGAGAGGTTTTTATTCCTGTGATTGCGTGGAGAGAAATCTTGGGTTCTAACGAAGAGGGTTCATCCTCGTCTTCCTCTTGTTCATCCATTAGGTGGTAGAAAAGTCTCTTGCACCTGTGTCCCGCCGAATAAAGATCGTCACAGTTGAAACATTGTCCCCTTGCCCAGCGTTCTGCCATCTTAGCCCTAGACAAACACTTAATGGGGGGTGTCACCACGTTGCGTCCCACACTGGATGTCGATCTGGAAATGTTGCTCGTATGTGGCTTCTATTTTCGGCTGGCTGCAGAAGATGGGGTCATTCCGAGTGTTTTCGGGGATGCCCATGCTGTCAGAGGCTGCCCTATACTGAAAGTTCCGCGGATGAGTTGCAGCTTGCGTTCAAAAGCGCGAGCCAAATTCATAGCAGTAACTAGGTTGGGGGGATTTTGCATCTCCACATCCACCCTCAAAGTTTCTACTAACCCTGCGGTGAACATGTCAACCTGTTGGTCTGGTTGTATCGATGATGCTCTTGCAAGGAGGGTCTGAAACTGACGTTGATATTCAGCCACTGTTCCCGTCTGTTTGAGGTTGATTAGTTCACCTAATGGGTTGCTTGTTAATGGGGGCCCAAACCTGAGAAGGCAGTAAGATTTGAATTGGGTCCAACTGAGTCCGAGTTCCTCCTGTTCCAATCTATAAAACCAGAGTTGCGCCTCCTCCGTCATGTGGAATGCGACTAAGCTTACTTTGTCTCTGTCCTTTGTCCCTTGGTTGCGGAAGAACTGCTCACATCTGTATAGCCATCCCAGAGGATCTCCAGCACCATTATAGGAAGGGAACTCCAGCCTGCTGTATTTGGGAATGATCACGGCTCCCTGTGCAACGACCTGCTGCTCGTCGAACGATTCTACCACGTATGGTCGGCGGTCGTTTGTGGTTGTTGTCCCTTCTGGATTCCTTTCCTTGCTAGAAAAATATAAATCCATTAAGCGCTTTAATTCTCGGGCGTCGTCCTTGATCTCGCACACCTCCATGCTATTCTCCATGAGCTTGTGTTCCAGTTCATGAACCTTAGTCGTCAGCTGCTCAAGGTCACCCATGACGCCTGGCTCTGATACCAGATTGTTAAGGGCCTACGAATAGGATCTCGTCACAGGTCAGTCCACGGGGATAACCTCTTGTTTTCCCTTATTCCTCCATTTTTTTGAGGACCCTATTTTGACGCCTTAAATGGTGATTATTAAAGAGATCACCCCCTCTCCTCTGCTATTTCTTGACTGGAAATTTCGATCCTTTATTGAATATCATTAGCTCCTTTAAATAGGAGATTACAAGAAGATAAGAATCGTACTTTTAGGAAGACTCCCTATTAATCTATACTACTGAATTTAGCTAAGATAGAAACAGATAAGATAAGAACACTGAACAGATAAGACTCCCTACTAATCCATACTACTAAAAATAGATAAGATAAGAACTGTATCTAGCTAGATAAGACGAAAACACTGAATTAGATAAGATGAGAACATCGAATCTTGCACCCTTTACTGCTGCTATCGGCGGCGATATTGCTTCCCAATAAAAAGCGTCCACAACAAAATGCCTTTTCACCCACAAATTCTAGAGTAGGTAGCTATCCACACACAATCAGCTCTGGAGATCGCACAAGTAATTCTTGTGACATAGCATTAACAGTAGCAATTCTTTGCATGAAAATACACTTCAGATTGATGGCTCCTTTGACCCTCACACATGACATGCAGGGCGAGATTTCTTCATCAAATGTGCCTCAAAAGAAACCTCTGCTCAAGGAAAGTCATGTTGGGCGCTATCCAGCTATGATGCAGAACTAAAAGCTCTCATGGATGGGTTGGAAGCAACTTCGAATCTATTAATACAGACTCTAATAGTTTATAGACTCTGCAAAGCTAAGAATGGATAGAGTAGCTGTAACGGAGCAGGTTCAAGACTCTTACATCTCGGTTTCAATACCATCTTTTTGAACATGTAAATAGATCAAACAATCTAGCTGCTCATACTTTAGCTACCAAACATCAGTCATCAAGATGGACATGTACAGTTTAGTATATTACAGTAAATCAGTAATGGAGCTACTTCTTTTTTTTGCACAAAAAAAAAAAAAACATAAATGCAAGCCAGAGATTTGAGTGTTTTGGACCAGATGCACTTATAAAGATTATAATATGATACCTATAAATAAAAACCAAAGGCCCATAATCTGGCCCAACTTACTCTTATCATAGTTACTAATTGTCATCCCTATAAATGGTACTTTAGGAGATGAAATTAGTTGAACTACGTAACTGTTTTGTGGGCCGTGGGACCAAACCATTTTGTTCAAGGACGATCATATGCATTTTATCACTAGAGTAGAAGTGTAGAACAAAATAGGTGTTTGGAACCGATGACGCTTTCTTGAAAAATGGTGTGACACTGTGTGACACTAGTGCAACATCTGAAATTCATTTTTTTTTTGGGTTTTTACTGTTCAATTCATCTCTGAAATCATAGTTTTACCTACAGTTGAGGGGTAGGTGTCGGCTCAGAATTGATGCTAATTTAATATGGGTATTATAGATGGAGGTATTCATAAATTTGAATTGTTGTAGATCTGCGATTCAGATCAGAATCATTTTTTTTAGATCATGCTTGATGTTTGGTTATGTATTTTTTTCCGAAAAATTGTTTTTTCAAACCACAGGTTGAAAATCAGAAAACGTGATTTGTTCAAAGAATAAGAAATAAAAGAGGTAATTGCACAATCAAAATGAGAAAACATTTTTTTTAAATCACACATTGAAAATCGAAAAAAATGTATACGTACACCCTCGTTTTTTATATTGATATAACATTAAAAAATACCAATGTGGCAACAATTCAACACCCTTGCCATTGAAAAAAATCATTTCCTACAAAAACGACATGCCAATGAAACACCATTTTCTCAAAAAAAGAAAATGGTATTATGTCACCAAAATGATTGCACCCACAGCGGGTAAAACAGCTAAACTTCAGTAAATTCATTCTCACTTGGAATCTTCAAGTGTTTTCCTTTTCCAGACACAATAAATGATCATTTTTAGCAAACGCTAGAACAACGGACACAAGGGGCGCCCCACAATGTCCCACAGTACATCTCCGCCATGTACTGAGAACATCTCTTGATGCCCTACAGCACATCGAAACTGATACTATCATCGGTAGATATTCTCAATACACGGCGGAGATGTTTTATGGGACACTGCGGGGCGCAAATGTGAACTCTTGGAAAAACGCCAAACCAAACCGTGATGGCGTCGCGCCCAGTTGAATTCTTGAAGGCTCGAAGGCTCGAAGCCTCATCCATCAGCTCTCTCCACGTTTCGTGATACGAGATATTCAGAATTTGAAATATGTACAACGAGGCCTTCGTTTGTGTTCTTGGGAATACAAGAAGTTCACGAATCTCGCTCTTGAATCTCGACGTCGATTGTTCCACGTAGATGCCTCGAGATTTGTACATTAATTGGATGATATTCCTCCGTCATCTGAGTTCTGGCTCCACTTTATTGTTATTATCTTTTTTTGCACTTGTAATAATTAAAAAAAGATACCAAAGACGATCATTCAGTTTGAGAGCATGCGGGTATTGGTGGTATTTTGACTTGCATTCCGTTCACGTTGGTTGTCCTGCCGGACGGCCTTGGGTAAGTGTTACATTGCTTATTCAATAAATACATAGAAAGGTATCGTGGACCCAATGCTTCACTGGCCTTGATTGAATATCCTCAAGACGCGTGTCAGTTGAGCTAACGTGCATCACGAGGTTTTTCCAATCTGACGGCCTTCTGTAAAAGACACCCTTTTACCGTGTTTTTCACTGGAGGTAAAAATTGCCGAACAAAGACGTCGAAGGTATTGTTCCAACTTCCAAGTAGGTAAGGAAAAAACAAAAGTGAAAATTAGACTCTGAGAGAGAGAGAGAGAGAGTCGTAAACGGAGAGTTATCATTTCATTATCCGATCACACGGGAGATCGTTACATCTCTCCCCCTCTCTCTTCTTAGCTCGATCTCCTTGAAATCCGGTGTTTTATATCTAATCCCGTTTCCCGGCGTCTTAAAACCGCTTCCCGGTGATTTTATCGGCAATTTTTCTATTGTATACTTGTATTGTCCTAATTCTCTTCTCCAATCTAGTTTTGAAGACTTATGATTTTTAACTGAAGAATCCGTTGTCGTATCCTTTTTTAATCATTTTCATTCTTTCTATAAAGTTTCAGAAGAGGATCAAGAAGGACGGCTACTCGAATTGAAGCTATAATTCTTTTCTATTCATATATATATAAGTCGAATACTGCCGTTTTGCATCTTATCTTTTAGGTTTTTGGGATGAACTAGCCTTTGTTGCTTGCTGAATTTAAGAAAGAAGTCGAAAAGGTTTTAGTATTGATTCGGATATTCTTTTAGGTGTTTCTGACTTCTGGATTATTCGAAGCGGAAAGGAGATGGAGAGACTTGTAACTTGAAGCTAGGAACTTGGGGCTGTTTCTCCTGTAGGCTGAAGGAAACAGCCTGCTGTTATGATTAGGGCACTGTTCGGTGAAATAGATTTTTCTTCATTATATTTTATCTTCATTTTTTCTTTGGGATTTCGGGATGAGAAATGATGGCCAGAACCCCAAGGGAGCAGTTACGAGATCGGGGCGGAGTAATGGGTTCATACCAAACTCTTTTCGAGCGATCTCGAGTTACCTAAGAATCGTATCCTCGGGCGCGTCCACTGTTGCCTCGACGGTTCGATCAGCTGGTGCATCGGTCGCGTCGTCAATTGTAGATAGAGAGGACGTTGGCTGCCGTAATCAGGTACTGTTCCAGTAAAATGGTTTGGTTTTATATCAAATTAAAGTTCAATTTTCTTTTTCTGGACTGGCGGTGGCGGGGAAAGATTCTTCTTGTCGCCTCCCTGCGGGATGTGTTGGTAGTTATAGTTATACTCATTAGTTAGAATTTAGCCAAAAAAATATCTTTTGCTGTCCAATAAGCAGTATTCTTTTCTTATTGATTAATGGTATAATGTGCTTGTTTAGTGCATAACCTTCTCTTACGAAGGCAGTTCTTCAAATTCTTATGAGGAAATAGAACGACACAAATTTATTCCTATTTCATTACGTCGACATAACTTAGGCTGTATTGGTTTTTTACAAAATTAATGAGAGGGAAAGTTGTGGTAAAATCCTAGGCATCTGATGAAATCCCTTATGAACTTTCCTACAACTTTTTGTTTCTCACATAATTTTCCGTGGAACCAAACACAGCCTTAGTAGAGCTTGTGGGAATGCAGGGAGTAATTGTCGAACTCACAGCCTTTCTCACCGCATCTATCATGCATGCTAGTTTTGTTGTGAAACAAGTGATCATCAGCCCTAACCCTCCTAAATACACTAGTAATTGCTTTCTATTTTCTTTGTTCTTCTACCATTTTTTGGAGCAAGTAGTACTTCAGTTGTGGATTTAGCAGTTACGTTGAACAATTGAACACCTAACTATGTAATAATTGTGCTAGTACTGATCATGTACTTCCATGTTAGAAGTCGATTTGTTGATTGGTGTATATTTTATGCCGAATTGATTTTAGGCATAGTTCAAAGTATTGGGCCATTACAAATATTGATATTCTACATTTAATTGAGTTTCAGTAAACGCCTCTCTGTCATAGTTTTCAAGGTGCCAAGGTGAAGTTAGGTGGCAGGGAGTGCCTTGTTGCTTAGTCAACTTGGTAATAGATTCTTTTTTTTTCTTTAAGGTAAAAACCATGAATTATAGGGTAATTCCCTAGGTTCTGTAGCAACCAACAACCATCTTTCACAAGTAATTATCTATAATGTTTAAATTTTGTGTTAAAACAGAGAAAATCAACATATTCATGAGAAGAGAAAGGAGAGAGCATACACCCACACCCACAAACTGAATAGTTTAGTTTAACAATGTATGTTTTATTATTATAATATAATCTCAAAATTAAGAATATAAAGTATATAATAGCTCTGTGTACAAAATAGCTAGGTGATTAAGTGAGGCAACCCTCCATGGGTGCCTTGTAGCCTAGGTGTCAACTGTCATCTTGGCAACTATGCTCTCTGTCTATCATCAATGCACAACTACTATTAGTAATTGAAAATAACAGATATCTCAAATTCCTCATATATAGCTTATCGGCAATATCAAAAGCCAATAAATATATATGATAAGGTATGATACATAATGATGATACTTTGAACCGTGGTTTTAGGGTGATTTGGCCCATTCAGTTGGAAAATGTTATTGGTGGTTCAACCTCGTTAAATTTCTTTAATCTTACATCCATTTTATGTATTAAATTTTCAAAAAGGAATTCTTACTGATCTTTCCTTTTTTAGAGCATCTGGAAAAACAGTCTCTGGATGTAAATGATTTGTCGGTGAAATATTATGGGATCATTCACATGGGTAGTTTCAAGGATATGGGGATGACTGATTTGGATGATGAAGTGAAAATATGGGCAACATCTATGGTTTCTATAAAAGATCCAAAATGTGCAAAGAAGGTGAGGATGTTGTAGAGAGTGGTGAAGATGAAGGGTAGTATCTAGATGGGTATGGTTGACCAGGAAGAAAGCAAGAGCCATGGGGATTTAAGTGCTAGGAACTTCTGTCTCTTGAGTACAATTGCAGAGATGTAGTGATATGAGGTGATGCTACAGTAATTACAGTAGTACTTTAGTCTTGAAAGAGAAGGGAGAGTTCCAAAACCTGCACTCTTTTTGATCAGTTTAAGTAAAATAAAGTTATTTACTGTATTAGCTTGTTTTCAAGTAGTTCATACATGAGCTACTATTGACATGGCACCATTTGAAGTGGCCTTGGTGTAAGTTTCATATAAGTTCAAATGCACATGTTTCGGGTTTCCATAACTCTTTGGAACCTTCAGATTGATTGATTGAATTAGGACAGCCTTCCTTACTAGTTCAGTAGACGGCCTTCCATGTACAAGACCAAATCATCTTAGTCTATTGTTGCCCATTGGGGCTGCTCTAGGGTTCCCAGAGATGCACTTGTTGATATCTATTAAAAAACTAACTATTTGCATTTTTTTATGCACAAAGTGGCTGCTCTAAAACTCGAACTGGTATTTTCAATGCTTGTCAGCCCAAGGTTTTGGCACTTCACCAAATAATGGTCCCTACTCATCGATACCTATTTGGTTATCTTATATTAAATGAATATATGATGTGATTAAAAATTTCCATTTGTTAGAGGTTGTACAACCCCTCTTTTATCATTCCTGAATAGCATCTGGTATGTTCATGTGTGTATATTTAACTAAGAATTGAATTTGAAGTTATTTCATTCACATATCTTACTTTTGTGCTGGAAAGGTCCACTGGGCTGGGTTTGACAAGTTAGAATCTGAGGAAGGCATTATTCGGAGAGTTCTCTTGCTGGGTTATCGGTCTGGTTTCCAGGTTTGGGATGTTGAAGAAGCAGATAATGTGTATGAGCTAATATCCAGATACGATGGCCCTGTTTCCTTTCTGCAAATGCAACCAAAGCCAATAGAATCAAAGAAATCAGAAGACAAGTTTGCAGATGTCCGACCATTGCTTATCGTTGTTGGGGATGGTTTTCTTTCTGGTGGTATTAATGTTCAAGATGGGGTTTTCACTCAATGCAATGGGAATGATACTACTTGCCATGAGACTGGTAATGGAAACTTTGTACCTACAGTTGTTAGGTTTTATTCCTTGAGGTCACAATCTTATGTGCATATCCTGAAGTTCAGATCAGCTGTTTTCTCTGTAAGGTGCAGCCCTCGAGTTGTAGCTATATCTCAGGCAGCTCAGGTATATAACTTCCCTATGTACATAGCTGTTTTATCTAGGCTTCCCCTGCAGTAATACCTTTTCTTATTTGGAGCTTGTAAATAAATATTTTCTTTGTTCCAGATACATTGCTTTGAGGCTGCGACCCTGGAGAGAGAATACACAATTCTTACATATCCTGTATTTTCGGGTTGTCCTGGTTTTGGGAATGCAGGCTATGGACCACTTGCAGTGGGGCCAAGGTGGTTAGCTTATAGTGGAAGTCCTGTTGTCATTTCAAACACAGGCCGTGTCAGTCCACAACATCTTACACCTTCTGCAAGTTTCTCTGGTTCCTCTTCAAATGGGAATGTGGTTGTGCATTATGCCAAAGAATCAAGCAAACAACTTGCTGCTGGTATAGCGACCCTAGGAGATATGGGTTACAAGAAATTGTCACGGTATTGCTCTGAACTCCTACCTGATTGCAATAATTCTCTAAAATCAGGGAGCCCTGGCTGGAAAACCAACGGCACTGTTAATGGCCATCTGTCAGATGTAGATAATGCTGGAATGGTATGCTTTGCCCCTCATCTTTAACATTATGTCTGTTTCAGCTGAAAATAGATATTCATGTTTGTTAAGTTTGTATGGTTATTCATTTCTGTTCTCTTATTATAGTAGCTGTGCTCTATAGCACCTGCTATTGACTGTATCATGGTATCCTTGATAAATGTTCTGATGAATCATTGATCATTGTAAGCAAATCTACTCATGTTGATATGAGCCCAGAATGTAGTGTTAATATTGTTGGTGCCAAGCATGAACTTGTGGTTTCTTCAGCCTTGGCTTTTTTGTGAAGGATGCTAATGCTGTATTCATTCTTGTAGCATCATATGCTTTTTCAGCTATTGATTTTATTCACGATTTCTTAATTTCTGCAGGTTATTGTGAGAGATATTGTTGGAAAATCTGTTCTTACCCAGTTTAGGGCACATAGGAGTCCTATTTCTGCATTATGCTTTGATCCTAGTGGGACATTGTTGGTGACTGCTTCAGTTCAGGGTCATAACATTAATGTTTTCCGAATAATGCCCATGCTTCCTAGAAGTTCATCAGGATCTGATTCTCATGGATCTTATGTGCATCTTTACAGACTGCAGCGTGGCTTAACGAATGCTGTAAAGAAAAACAACAACACTTTGATTTATGATATTTTTGAACGTACAATTATTAGTAGTTGCATGATTATGTTCTTTTGTATTTTACAGGTTATACAGGACATCAGTTTCAGTGCAGACAGCCAATGGATTATGATAAGTTCTTTAAGGGGAACGAGCCATTTATTTGCTATATCTCCTTGTGGAGGTTCTGTGAACCTTCAGTCTGCTGCTTCAGGGTTTACCAACAGTGTGTTAGGTGTGATGACCAAACAAGATGCTCATTGGCCACATGGTTCAGGGCCAGAAAAACTTAATCAACAAAATTTTTCTGCATTTGGTCCTCCAGTAACACTATCAGTTGTTAGCAGAATAAGGAATGGTGGTAATGGTTGGAGGGGTACAGTAAGTGGTGCTGCAGCTGTTGCAACAGGCAGGGTTAGTTCCCTTTCTGGGGCTATTGCTTCAACCTTCCACAACTGCAAAGAAAATGGTTCATGTTTAGATTCCAATTCATTAAGTACAAAATACCACCTTCTGGTGTTCTCACCTTCTGGTTGTCTGATGCAATATGTCTTGCGTACATCTAATGGACCAGTTTCTGAGTCAGTTTCATCTAGATTAAACACTGCTTATGAATCACTTCCAGATAGTGATGCAAAGTTAGTTGTTGAAGCAGTCCAGAAGTGGGATATCTGTCAGAGACAACATCAAAGAGAACGGGAAGATAATCTTGACATTTATGGTGAACATGGTAATGGAGACAACCATAAGATTTTCCCAGAGGGAAAAAGGGGGAACGGTATATATCCTGCTAATGGTCTTTTAGTCACAAAGACAAAGAGCAGTGCTGAGGAAAGGCATCATTTATATATATCAGAAGCTGAGTTGCAAATGCATCAAGCTCGGATACCAATGTGGGCAAAACCAGAGGTATTTTTCCTCTGTTGAATTTAAAAGAAGCAATTTTTTTCAGATAAGTTATTTTTGATGCCATGATGTGAAATGACTTTACTGCTTTTATTCTGTGCAAATTGGGCCAGATATACTTTCAGGTGATGATGATGGATTACAAGAACATAAAAGAAAGTGTTTTAGGAGGTGAAATTGAAATTGAACAGTTTCCAACTCGCATGATTGAAGCAAGGTCAAAAGATTTGGTACCAGTTTTTGAGCATCTTCAAACTCCAAAATTTCAAGAAACAAGGTGCATGTTGATCCTCTATATATAGAATTATGATATCATCTAAGAATTGTCCCAACCATGTGGGGTTGGCCCAATGTTTTCCTAGATAATTTATCAAATTGTCTTTGGGTTCAAATCCAAATATTACACATTTGTTTGAAATTAAATATGCCAGGAACATCAGACGTGTGTGCAGCATATGGAACCTGTATTTTTGGTTCCTGGGTTCTGCTTTGGGAAGGGGGATTGTTCCACATTCTCTAGTGTAATTTTGATTTTCTTCATTTATTTTGGGGTAGTGATTGTCCCCTGTTTTGTTGCTTTTTCATTCTTTAACTAATTTTCCTTAAAGATAAAAAGCAGAAAGGTAGGCACAAGATAATAGTGTTGGATAAAAGGTAGGCACAAGATAAAAAGCAGAAAGATAAAAAGTAGAAAGAAACCTGCATGACATGGTAGGCACAAGATATTAGTGTTGGATACCAGCATATGTTGGTTTCCTGGATTTATAGGCAAGAGCTACTTTATTTGACATAATTATCTTAATGAATCTCTTGATCATTGATGTTCTAGGTCTAACCACCATTTTAGCTTGCTAGAGAGAGATACAAGTGAAATGCCTGAACCTTTGTTACTTATTCAGGGTACCTGCTTTGGATAGCAACTGTAATGTCCTGCTGCAGAATCAGAGGTCTCGGCTATCTGAAGATGGGAGGGTTTCATGCGGAAGTAGACATAGCTCTCTTGACTACGTCTCAGAAGGTAGTATTGCAGCTACTGAACTCCCAAATACCAATGAAGAAAATTGCTGGGGTGGTCTTCAAATGTCATTGGAATCAACCGCAGGCTTTGTAAATAACAACAATATGACTGAAATTAAAAATGGGCTTGAGTTTGTAGATAACAGAGAGAAGATTGAGACCTACCTTGAGTTTGTAAATAATAATAAGAAGAAGAAGAATAATAAAGAGAGCCTGAAGATGGAGAATCACTTAAAGGATGATGACGGTGAGTTGGATTGAAGGTAACCTGTTTGCTCTTTGTTTGAAGTCCAAATAAAGACTTCTGGGATGCCTGAGGTTGTCAGAATTGACGTAAGGTATATTAAGATAGCTCACTGAATTTAGATTTGGTAGATTTCTTAGTTCTTCGTTGTCTTTTCTATTAAATTATTTTTTATTATTTCATGGGGTTAGATATATTTTTATTAAACTCAAGTTAAAATTTGATTGTCTATAATAGGTGTGATTTCATGAAACTGGTTTTCTGCTTTTGAGAAGACATGATCATGTAAAATAGAATTTCTCGACTTGCAGAAGTTCTATGACTTTGTTGCTGAGACTCTTAATCCTTGTATGCACTACCTATTTTTGATTGTTGTACTTCTACCTAATGCATGTTGCCAATGACCCAATAGTTGAGATGATTACTCAGCATCCCTCCAAAAAAGGACACGTGTGATCAAACCTGTGGAACTACGGGCTCTCCGTAGCATGGCCAGTGGGTCTCACGTGTACCCTGCTCTGTCCCCACCTGAGCTCCCTGCAATATGTATTATACTATCATGTAATATCCAAAAAAACAGTACCTATATATGTTGGCATTTAGCTTGCTGAATGCTGAATCACCCAGTTGGTGGTCCTAATTCCTTGGATGCACTGGATTTGTACTGTAATGGGGAAGGGAACTCTATTTCACCTCTTGCTTCTGCTTGGCCTTTGAGATTGTTTTAATGATTTTCTTAATTGCAGGTGATGGGGGGTTTGACTTCAACTTGGTGTTTTGTCGTGTGCAACTTCTATTTTGTTCTTCAGAGAAGCTTATTAACCAGTGTTAATATTTGTTGGGGTTGAAATGTGTGGGAGAGGGGGAATATCTGAAAGGGAGGAGTTTGACTGTGATGTGGAACCGTGGATGGCATGGAAGGTTAGCATTCCTTTTCTACTAACATTGTAAAATGTAAATAACAGATTCCTGAATATTAATATTTCAATAATCATTTGTAATGTGTAAATAATAGCATAACCATACAAACCCTGTGATACAAGTATCTTGTATAAAGAGGGCCCTTTGCTTGGGGGTTGTTGTTTGATGTGAATTGGAATTTCGGGCCTAATGGTCCTCTGATTCATTACCTATTTTTTCTCTTCCTACATCAATATAGATTAAATTTGAACATATTAATTCATGTGCATTTTATTTATCGTTTTTTTCCAGGGAAGATTCTTTTATCAATATAGACATAAACCATTTGCATTTGGAGATATATCGGGATTCCAAATAGACCTGTTCATGGGCCTGGTGGCCCGATGGCCCGGCCTGCACCCTGATCGGGCTTGGTCATGTAATTGGGCCCACGGGCCTGACTTCGGGCCTAACACAGTAAGCCCGATTGTGTTACGGGCCGGGCTCGGGATATGTCAAAAAAGCTCGTCCCAAGCCCAACCCGACTCAACATTATATATTTTATAAAATACATAATATGTATTTTATATATTATATAAAATATATAAATAATATATTTATTGAAATATGTATATTTATAATTTAATATATACATTTTTTCATTTTTTCTTTATAATTTCTCTCTCACTGTCTCTCTCTCTCTATTCAGCCACTTCAGCAGTAATAACAACATGGGCTAAATTTTGGGCTCGGGCCCAGGCCCGGGTTTTGGGCTTTTTATCAGGGCCGAGATTGGGCCCAAATTGTAGGCCCGATAGTCGGGCCGGGCTCGGGCCTTAGAAAAATCTGTTAATACAGAGTGAAAGCCCGGCCCAGCCCGAGCTCAGCCCATGAACAGGTCTAATTCCAAACCCTCGCTACCTTCACTGATTCTTCTTTTTTTTTTTAATCAATACTTTCACTGATTCTTCTCTTCTGTCCAAATCTGTCTTCATTCCAGCTCTTTAATCCAACGCACTGTGCCTTGAAGTGAGGCTGAAATAAAAGGCCCAACCTTGGCAGCCCCAGCCGATTAGCCCTTTGAGTTATTTGATGCTTTTGCCTTTGGGCCTTTTGGTCCCATGTTCAAGCTTTGAGCCTCAAGTATTTAACCTGTTAGGCTGTGTATTGTTGCAGTGTAATCTTATTTGCACTAGTAGAAATGCATGGGAGTGCAAATGAAAAGAATATAAATTATCTTCTAATTATCTCCTAAACTACCTCTCCCACTTTCTCCAAAATTATCTCTAATTCCTATTTATCTTCAAAATTATCTCTAATTTAATAGAGAGTTTCTCTCCTAAATTATCTCTAATTCCTATTTATCATCTCCTAGAAAGTTTGGATTAAAAAATTTAAGAATTATTTAAATATTCTAACAATATTTAATAATAACTTGAAAATATTTATTAAAAATATAAAAAATAATTTTATATTTTTACAAAATATATCAAGAAATTATATACTAACAATTTAAATTATGTTTTTTTGGATTATCAATTTAAATGCTTTTCAAATATTTATTAATATGTAATAGATTTAAATAAATAAAATTCAAATAATAAAAAAATTTAAATATTTTATAGATTATTTAAATATTTATCATAACTAGATTTTAAATGGTTAAAATAACATAATTATGTAATAAATTTAAAAAATTTTGTCAAAGTAGAAAAATAATTATAACATAATATTAAAATTAATAATAATTTAATATATTATAAAACTAATAATAAAATTATGTAATAATAGTATAAATTATGATTTTACGGATAATTAAATTCAATAAATAATTAATATTTTAAAACTTAAATGTTTTACATATTATTTAAGTATTTAAATAACTAAATATTTTAAATAACAAAATATTTAACACAACTAGATTTTAAATAGTTAAAATAAAGAAATTATGTAGTAAATTTAAAAATTTTGAATAGTAAAAAAATAATTATAACATAATATTGAAATTAATAATAATTTAATATTTTTACATAATATTGTAAATAACTAATTTCACTTTTATCAAGTAATAATTCGAGAAAATAACTTTCAAAAAATTAATATTTATTAATAATAATTTTAAACTCTTAATCTGTATTTATTATATAATTATATATTTTGAAATTAATATTTATTGTGTTTCAATAATTATTTATTGTTTTTGTGATAAATGTATTTTCAATGATTATGTATAAGTTTATTTTGTTTTGTTAGTTAATGGAAAACTTTCAATAATTATTGGAGATTTAAAGTACTATTATTGAAATTTTTAAATTTAATTTATTGTACCTATTGTATTTATTGTATTTTTATTATAACTTACTGATTAATATTTATTAAAGATTAAACTATTATTTGAGATTATACTATTTATTAACTAAGTTAATATATTTTTAGTACTTATTGTATTTTTTTCATTGTTAATTTATTTTCAATAATTATTGGAGATTAAACTATTGTTATTTATCAGAGATGAGGCTGTTAATTTAGCTGAAATTATGAGTGTTCATAAGTTTGTTCAGTTCGGTAGTAGGCTATTTGGCCAATCAAAGTGACCTGATCAAGTTGGGGAGTTGGTCAGTTGAAACCGACTGGCCTTTTGTGAAAACCGACCCACTTAAGTTGTATCAATTTGGGTTGATTTTTTTATTTGGTTAGTCAATTCAAAATATTTGAACTTAAAAATTTAATTTAATTTAAAAAATTATAGTGCAATTATTAATAAATAAATTTAAAAATTAGATTTATGATAAAAAACATTTTAGACTAAGAAATATGGGAAATTTCCACTTTTTCATATTAAAAATTATATTTAAAATATAAAATATTAATATATATCCATGGTTAGGTCGTCCAATTTTGGTCGGTTTACGAATGGCCAAAGTGAAATTGATCCAACTTGGTCGAATTAGGAAATTTTTTAACCAAAATCGACCTAAAATACTAGAAAATCGACCAACTCGGGTCGAGTTGATCGGGTTGGTCGGATTCAGTTTGATGAATAAACCTAATTGAATTTAGTTATTGTTATTTTTGTATTACAAAACATCCCATATATTTTACAAAGAAGTGCTTGTTTTGTCATTAGGCCTATGATTTTTATTCCAAAAATACCCTTAACATTTTTTTTTTTTGAACATAAAACAAAATTGACCAAATATAGCCAATATAGTAGTTGTTTCTGTCTTATTTATTAAGGGCAAAAATGATATTTTTATGTTTATTTTCTTTTGACTAAATTTATTTAAATGAGAATTAGGGTTAATACTGTCATTTTCCATTGTTATCTAATGAAAGATTGATTAAATCTATTACAAATTATAAGTGGTATTTTAGTAAAATGCTAGCTATATGGTAAATTTTAATAAATCCATGAAATTATAAGGATTATTTCAATAAATAACCCTTTTTATTGTGTAGCTTTTGTTTAATAGATGTACGGGTCCCCCGCTAGTACTATTTAAGACAGAGTGCAAGACCCAAACTGAACTTAAGGGAAGAAGAAAAAGAAGACGGAGTCAACGTTAAGATTTCAAACCAGCGAGAAATTTCTATGCTATATTTTATTATTTTCCAAAATTAAAGCAAGAAATTTCTAGCCACTCAGGTTGAGTAATGCATTATCATAATTAAGTTGCAGGTGCCTGTAAACCTCATTGTGAAAGAAAGAGGGAAAAATTTATCAATAGCCAGTATCCCAATGTTCAATCATTAGTTATCTCGTTTTTGCTGAACAATGTATCTGACCTGATGTGGTCTTCTGGTTAGTAGAGTGAGTTTCATTTGATTACCAAGAAAAAAAAATCAATTTTTTTATAGCACCTTCTAAAGCCATTGGAAGATTAGATGCTTGGAGCCTTGGATTACTAATTTGCTTTTGTATTTGCCCTTTACCCATTTGATACGGGATGTTGTCTACTTCACTACTAGCCCTTTTATCTTATTTCAGTCTTTGTTACAAAGCTAACAAGTTTTGTGTCTCACAGGACTAATGACATTATGGCAGTCGGGTATTGTGGCAATCAACCCTAACACCCAATTGTTCTTAGATTTATATGGTATTCTTATAGTGTTTAGATTTTAGGGGGGAAAATCTATGTAGATCAAAACCTATATCTAATAAATCAAACAAGTGATATAAATTTATATCAAATCTTAATTTGATGTTTTTTCATATCTTTATTGTTTATAAAATTATATATTTTCATAAAATTTTATTTATTTATTTTGCTTGATGCTTACACCTCAAAACACCTTGAAGCTTAAACCTCGCCCCTATGACACATAACTGCCTCTCCTCCACCTTTGCCTTTTAAACGTTTGATCCAATGTCCACAATTCTCCTATTTGTCAAGAATTCAGTGTCCATAATTTCTTAACTTTTCTCACAAATTAGGTGTCAACTGCCAATCGTATAATCTCCTCATTGCTACTGCTGAGATAAAACTGACACATCTCCATTTTGGAAAATTGTCTAAAATTCACAATGATTTTTTAGGAATTCTCTTAATCTCATTATAACTTTTCAAAATACCCAAAACTCCCAATGTCAATAAGTTTTTATTTTCTAAAATTCATCTTTGTTATATTACCATTAATATTCATTGATATAAGTTGTCCCCATCAGCATTAATAATATTTTCATGGCCAAACTACCCGACTGGTGAGTTAGGGAAACTCTCTCTCTCTCTCTCTGGGTGTGTGTGGGCTGATCTATCTCACTCGGTCAAATCTTATGGCCGTCGGAAGTCTCTCTCTTTCTCTTCGTGCATAATCTTCAAAAGGTAGATGCCCCACCAACTATCTCCTCTCATGTTACCCACACCACCAGCCAAAAGCAACATTAAAGAGGTGCATTTTTTTCATCTTTTTTGCGAGCCTCTACGCTCTACCCGATAACAACTGGGTCTTGGCGCTTCGGCTTCATAGCTCCGTTTGTGGCCGCACCTCAGCGGTGACTCTGCTCAGAGAGCTGTTGGTCGTAGCCAAGAAAGTGAAAGAGGGACTGCTGAAAGGGGAACAAGGAAAGAGAGGGAGTTTAAAGTGGCCATTGAGGAACTTGTACCCAAAGGAAAACAAATAAGACGTTGTGGGCTCATGGAATAGATCTGCTTTCTTACTCCTTGAAGTCATTAAGATTTGCCAATATGGATTTTAAGGAATCGATTCCACCTCGATCGTCTAAGGTGGGACG